CGCTCCTCCTTCCTGTCTCAGTTTCTTTCACATTATTTTGCTCACACACCCAGCACACGGAAAGCAAACGACAAGCACGCGAAACACATGAATAAATCAACTAAACCCTTTTTTCCACAACTCATTTCGTCTTCTCATCTCCTCTGAGAGAGAGTGCAAGGTCGTGGCTGCAATTCTGACTCTTAGATTTGAGTGAATTGGTTAGTACTCCAAAGATCTTACACAGAACATTCCCAAAGCTCCATCTTTAGCCACATCTCTAGCAATCGATGCCATCAGCTTAGTCTAAACTGGCCTCTTAAACACATTGTTCTAGTAAGTTGAAAGAAAGTAAATAAAATAACTGAAAATCAGTGATGGGAAATCGATGTTTCAGGGATGCCAAGATTGGTGTTTTTTTCCTCTTTTTTAGTGTACACTTAAAAAATAGAAGAGATAAAAGCTTTGAATTCACATTCACCATTCTTGGCAGAAATGGTATTAATTTTTGTAGTACTTTACATGATGTATATAACATATAAAGGAAAAAAAGACTTCAGTATCAGTATTTTACCATATTAACGAATATAATGAAATAAAACGTAAGGCTTGGATAACTTGGATAGACCAGTTATTCTGTTTTGCCTGCAACTAAACTCTTTTTCTCGCTCTTCCAACTTTTTTATGCAGCGGCTGACTGGCTCTCATCACATTGTGTAACGAAGCGCAAATCAGGGCACAGCACACAGCGCGATTCGGTTTCCAAGCACACACGGCTTCAACATACAGAAGAATAATTCGAAAAATATACATATATATCCTTACCCCTGAATGTAACTTTGGCGATCTTATCACCTTTCCCTCGCAGGTGAGCGACCGTCTTCAGGTGAACCATTAAAGCCATCATTAGTCCAGTCTGGTGGGGGCGGGAGTAATTTTACTCCACACAGATAAAACTTGAATCGATTTGGTGCAATCTGCGTTTAATGATGTCTTGGTGAGCCTTTCTTTGCGGGCTGGAGTCGGTGGACCCAAAAATCGCTTTCTATCCGGGCAACATGAATACTTTACGTGCGTTTCTTTAAAGGGAAGAAAGCAAACAAACAAACAAAAAATCCAAAACCCAAAAAATGAATTAATCACAGGCTCCAGTTAACATTTCCTCCTACTCCGTGGCTGCTGGGTCTATCGCACATCTCTGAGCTGGTTCTTGGTTTTACTCTGCTCGTTGCGCAGGAAGGGCGGGGGTGGGCTTCAACTACAGAGAGATGATGCTCTAATTGCGGGGAGACAAAAAAAAAAAACCAAAAAAAAAAAAACAAAAAAAAAAAACCAAAAAAAAAAAAAACACAGACCAGGCTTGGGATTCGGAGGAAAACCCTACCGCTGTTTGAGAGACATTTTTAACAAAAACGCTTAGCCATGAATCTAGACCTACTGTACTTCATGCATTTTACTTTGAAATAAAACGATGATCTTGTTACAATAAACTTTGCACGCTACAAACGGTTTGCTGCCACGCCCACATTATACTGCAATTCCCCGATCCCTTTAGTATAGCTGTGGGTCAACATGACGAACAGGTGAGGTGAACGTTGTCCTTTTCTGACCTTTGGCCAACAGTTCCTGCTGAAGAGGCGTCAGGACAGCCGCAAACAACAGAAACATGTTGACTTACCTACCACCAGCTTCAAATCTACTCCAGTATGCACACTCACCTGCCACTTTATTATGTGCTGCTCCTTTGACGTAAACACGATAATAGCATGGCTCCGTCCTGCCCTGTATCAGAGGTTCAGGTGATGGTGTAATGTCTCTGTGATATTTAGCTTTTTGGGCCATTGAGTACCGCAAGAGCATTGCTTAATCTCCACAGCCTACCTGAGTATTGCTGCTGACCATGTCCATCTCTTTATGGCCACAGTGTACCCACCATAGACCACATTACAAAGCTCAACTCACCTTAAACTTGTTTCTTGAGCATGACAGTGATTTCACTATACTTAAGTGACCTCCACAGTGACAAGATCTCAATCCAATAGCACATTTTTGAGAGGTGGTTGATTGGGGCATGGAGCCGACAAATCTGCAGTAACTTTGTGATGCTAGCATGCCAATATGGACCTAAATCTTAGAGGAATGTTTTTAGCAGCTTGTTGGATGTATGTCAGGAAGAATTACAGCAAAAAAAGAGGGTCCAAGCAAGTACTAACAAGGTGTACCTAATGAAGTGGAATATGAGTATATATGTATTTGGTATGAGAAAAGATAAGGCGGTAGGTTTCTTTGGGCTCCTCTTTTTAGATTTGAAAAATAGTTATCATTCAATAGTAATGGGTATCACTATAAAGATACCAAGAGTACAACTGTGTGAAAACCTTTGTTTTGACGCAGTGTTCAGATGTGTCTGCAAACAACAGCAGAGAAGCTCTACATCTGCTCTCTCATATAATGTTCCTCACAGCATGAAACCAAAACTTCAGAGCTGTGAGTTTCTTCAGGAATGCCACTGATTTCTGGTTGCAAAGGCAGCAGCAGGAGTTCCTGTGACAGCATTGTGATGCTTCTGGTCCTTATCATCCCAGGAGCAGTGCTCAGCACTCTGAGTTTTTGACAACTTCTGTCAGAGGAGAGACAAATATTCTGCTAAGAATGGATGAATGGAATGTGCTGTGTTATAAACTGAGAAAACAGCATCATAGTCTAAACTGGTTTAAACGGGGTATAAAAGATGACTACAACACCCAGTTTTAGGGAGTATCTATGAGCACCTTCAAAAAGAATTATGGAAAAACACAGACAACAGCAGACTGAACTGAACAATCCCTGAATTTATCATCTTTGTACAAAGAAAAATAAAGATTCCAAAAGAAGACACACCAGCCAACATGCCACCCTTTATTCTGTAATAAAACACAAATCAATTGTGTTTTAAATAAAGTTAGATATGAAAGAATTTGTTGCATTAGAGCATAATGCAACAAATTTGACAAATGACAGAAATTATCAACAAAGTAAAGACACAATAATGACAGAACTGGGACACACACTATACTTTAACACCTACTGATATAACTACTAGACAGTGAGTCTCTGTGGATACAATAAATCTGGTGAGATGGCCCAGTATTGTAACAAACAAACAAAAACTTCTCTCTTCACTTGAGGTCATCGGGAGTACCTGGCATAAACAGCCTCAGGCGTGTGTATAACAAGAGAGAACACATTTCTACCACATAGGCTGAAGTACAGTCTCTCTCTCTCTCTGGTGGGAATGAATGACAGTCTGTAAGTATCTTTTGTTTAAATTATGTATTGCGGTTTGCACTGACTCATGTATGAGAGAGATAGAGAGATGAGTAATAAAGTAACTAATACTGAAAATAAACCAATTTAATCTGTGCAAATGATCCAAAGCCAGCAGCGCTGCAGACATCAAAGCTGCTTCTTGTTATTATTCTCTTCTTTTTTTTTAATCTGAATTTTTGTGCCACTGCTTCCTAATATCAAAGTGTGGTTAAAAACCGTGTCCCTGGCTTAAACCCTTTAGTTCTCTTGTCTTTTCCTCGGGGGAGAGGGGGTCCAACCCTGTGTTAGAAAGGTTCTGGATGAATAACTTTGATGTAAAAGACATCAAAGTCATTCATAAATTAAGTGATTGACATTGTTTTCCAGTAGTGATATGAGCTTTAGCCAGCAGAGGGAACTATTGGAAAACTGTTGGCTGGGCCCATACCAGTACAGATGGACATAGAGATGTTTTCATGACAATACCAATGGAGACACTCATTAAAATAACTGTCAGTTCAGTCAGTTTTGCTAACATATTGTCGCAGGCCGTATGGGACATTTGCTGTTATAACATTAAAGGTCGAGGGAATCTACAGCAGAACCCAGAAGATTTCTAAGAAATCAGAGAAGCTCTCTTATTTAAAAAAATAAGTAGAAAATCTTCCTGACTTCAGTGTGGTGGGCACATTGGAAAAGAAATAAACAATATATATTAATAGTTCAGTTATAGAGAGAAATGGATATAAATCAGTTTACTGCAACATGACATCACACCTTTTTTTTCTTTTTCTTTTTTTTTTTAAAGGCAAACAGTTCAGATTATATCCAAAACAACAGAGGATAAAAGCCATAGTATTACTAGGTCAGTGTTTACACTACTCAACAATTAGTTCCAGTTTTCTCCTCAATGCCTCCTTTTATTGACAACAACAGTCTGCTCCATCTAGTGGTTAAATTAATTATTCGGAAAATTGATGTAATTATGAACTTTGTCTCCACTGATTAGATCATCATGTGCTGGAATTTTACTTGGCCCACGATTCTGTTCTCTCACACCTGGTGCACGGATGGTGTCATGGAAAGGTTTAATCCTGGGGTGGATCAGGTGGGCTGGAAGAATAATACTGATAGTCGTATAGACGAAAATTGAGAATATCATAGAGGTTTAAAAGGTAGATATTGGCTTTATTTTTTATTTTATTTCTTTTAATAAATGACTGATCCGTAGGTCTGTTATAATCTACTACTTCTCAAGTCCTCCCATTTGTTCCATCTCTATGCCTGCTTCCAACCTTTAAAGCTTTGGATGCAATCATCCTGGTTACCTCCAGAGGGAGACATTTTCTCATTTTCTCTCTTTCATATTAGTATTTTATCCAGAAATTAATGATTAGCTTAACTTCATGGAATTTAGAAAAAAAATATCTAAGTCTCCATTCTTGTAATCAGCACTCTGGCTTTTTTTTTTTGTTAGTTAGTTAGTTAGTTAGTTTTCCTCTTCATAACATTTTATGAGTTTAAAAGCAGCCTCGAAATACTTGTTTCAAATCACAAACGACTAATAAGGCATTAATTGTGTGTTTGTGTGCATGTTTACCGATGTAAACGAAAGGCAGTTCACGGCGAAGTGCAGCATTCCCATCGGCAGATGGGAGGGAAGAGGGCTGATGTGTCCCAGCCCTCTGCATCCAGCTGGTGCGTCGCACCACTACAGTAGTTCGCCACACTCACCATGGCTTTAGCCACAGGCAGGACGCTCGTGGCACTATTTCTTACGCTTTGTGGGCCAGGATGCAGCTGGGCAGGTAAATCGTTGATTTACTCTTTCATAAGCAGGTGCAATTAGAGCACTTACTTGTAAAGCAGTTTGATACTTGTTTCATCTGATTATCCAGGTACTGTTGCTTTCTTGTCCACTCATGAAGAGAAAGTTGAACTTATCAAAGAGGTCACGTGCCTTGTGATTGGATATTTAAAATGCATTCAAAAGAAGCTGTTCATATTAACAAGTTTAAACAAAAGGAATCCTAGAATGTGCAGGTATTTGCATGTGTGCACGTCAGTGTCCACGTTTCCATTTGCAGAAAACAAAGTAGATTAAGCGCATCATATTTAACTCACTGGGACGTTTCATTTCAAGCGTGCAGTTTGAGTCATCATCAGATGTGAACGATTTCGTTTAAATGAGAGCTATTAGAGAAAATATGAAGTGACAGCATTTTTCACCCATGAAACTTTGTGGGGGGAAACTATGATGCAGGACAGAGCAGTTATGGAACAAGTCCTTTCCTTAGTGGCCACATCCAAAAGTAACTGGGATGCATGGTTAGAAGATGATGACAAATATCTGGCGACATCATGAAATGCTGTGAGTGGTGGCATATTAAATATGGAACTAATTCAGCTGAATGTGAAGATTAATGGCTTTAAAGTGGACTTTGATTAGTGACTAGAAGTGAAGGAGTTGATTTGAGACGTCACATCATCCATCAGCTATAGTCAGGAATGGCTGGACAGTGAAGCAGATTTTGAACCCAAGAGACTATGCAGGTTTTTTGTTGATTCATAGGCTGGCAGGATTTTACTAGAAAGGCGCAGTGATATATCAGATGTGCAGCGAATTTTTGACAAGCACAGAGAGTGCAAACCACAGCTGCACATATGTTTTTGAAGTTTCTTAAGTGCTGTTTGTAAAATCAATTTTCAGGGAAAGTATTCAACATCCTCCAGACAGTGAAAACATTCAAAATATCAAACGTGCCACAAAGCCCAAGGAGTTTCACAGTGGACAAAGGTAATCTTTTTGCCTTGGGCTTAAAGGCCAGACTTTCCTTCACCCTCCCTTCCTCCTCGATTTTATTCAGTTCACTTATTTTGTCAGTTGATCTGTAGACTTCTATATGCGTCCTTCTCAAATGTAAGCACTTAGCGCATGAGATCACTGCTTTCACTGAATATAGGCAGCTGCCATTTATTGTGGTCCTTTGTCTGAGTCATTTTCTTTTCCATCGTTTTGGAAGTCTTTTCAGAGCGTCACATTTATTCACTTCCACACATTTACACCTGGGAGCCCCTGCAGCTACAGCTCACTGTAGATTGGACCAGTTTTGAGTTAAATGGCTTCCTCTCTGGTCTCTCGACAGTAGTTGTTAAGAGAGAGGAGAGTGTTACTCATTAACTTTCTCTGCTCACATATCATCAGCCCGTCACTCTGAAATTATTCACAAAAGAGGACGAGTAAGCTCGTGGGGATATCTGAATACCTACGCAGGGGCAGTGCAGGAAAAACGAAATCTGCCTATCAACTTCTGGAATTTACACGAACTGTGTGAAGAGCACGAGGGACAGGGAGTGAGGAGAAGGAATCATGTCCTTGCAGGTCACTGGAATTTCATTATTCTGCTCCAGTTCACATGTCAGGATTCTTCAAGGGAGGCTACATGCAAGAGTTTTAGGATGAGGAGTTTCATAACTTCAACTTCTTTACTTCAGGAAAATAGAGACTTGCTGAGAGGCTTTTTTCCCCTTGCATATTTCTAATATTGCTAATGCTTTCCGTAATCTTTAATCACCTGACCCTATGCCCCTGCTCACCTGCACCTCGGCTGCATATCAAACCTGCCAGCAACAGCATGTCTCGTGTCATGATGTCATCTCTGGGCACTGTTCCACTTGCTTTAACAAGTACCACCTGGCCTACGAGCACCCTGTCAAAGCTTGATTTGAGCATATTAGATGTGCAGCGAGAAGATAGACAATAAACCAACACTATGAGGCGTCAGACCTCATCACTAACTGCTATACTACTACTAACTGAATAATTGCTTAGAATAACTTTGGAAAGGTTTTTTATAAAAGCAAAGTCACATGTGAGCACCAGCACAGAAAAGCTAAATATGCTGTTAGATCCCAAATGTTCTGGCCTGCTTCTGATTGTAGATGTCATGTGCCATAAACGTTTTCTATGGATGCGTGTAACCTGCCCAAAGCTAAGCGCTTACTCACTTGAGGCTGTCGCTTCAAATAAAATCTGTCCTCAGTCACAATTCAGTGGCAAATTAAGCTCAAGTCAACACAATAAACTGGTTGCAGAAAGTCAGACAGTTCAGCGATTGGTGTGACTGACTGCAGTCAGAAAGCAGTGATAAACTTTGGGCACAGTCTCAGTCTGGTGCGTTGGCTTTATCACAGAGTCGATTGCGGGAGAGAGTTTACTGGTCGTTAGAGGTGAGGCGGTGGTGAACTGGTAAAAAGAGAAATGTAGCACTGGGCAAGATTTCACACCTCCCACATAGATGAATGTATGTTCACACAGGCATCTGAATTCTTTTAAACGTGCAAATTCCACTTATTTTCTTAAGATTAACTATCAAAGAAAACGATATTTAGAGTAATCTTGTGGCTTTCTGGGAAAAACCGGCAGTGACTTGGATAAGAAAACCGATATTACACACGTTTCTAAACACCATGTGGAAACACTTGCGATACGAGCTCTATCCAATGGTTGAAACATCTAAAGACAAGAGAAGCAAGAAAATATTGTGTTATTTAACTCCCTCGGGCCCCTGAACACATAAACACGAAAATAGGTTTCTTAGTCTTGTAATTAAATCTGCAGATTTTTGTCGATCCGTGTATTCTTTTAAGCAGAGCACAAATACAAAAGACACGTCTTCCAACTTACCACAAGCTCCAACAATTGGGTGGTTTTCTCCACAATTTTACACCATTTACAGCAATTTTTCGCCTCCAGCCAAGTACAGTTTAGATAATTTGTTTGTGGTGCTCTCTCAGTATTTAAAACTTACATTCAACGGCATCTTTTCAGAATACGTTTTTCATTTATTCTGTATAAAACACAGAACCCACTGTGAACAGAAAAGCCTTTCAGTAAAAACTGCTCACAGCATGCTCTGTCGATTATCAAAAGTTAATGGGACATTGTTTCTGAAAAGGCACGCTGTTGTTAACTCTTTTTTTTTCTAATGCAAAATCTCTGCTTATATAATGGTGTTTATTTAATTGGTATCAGAAACTTCAGAAAAAAGCAAAAAAAAAATATGGACAAACAAACCCAAAACATGTGCAAAATGTTCTTTTCTTTCTTTTTTGTGTTATTTGAGTGCTCCAAGCACATCTTCCGAAACTATTTTAAGCAACTTAAACAAAATACAGTTGAGCAACTGGACTTCACCTCAATCTTGAGTTTTAACTGTTTTTAGTGCTATAAAAGGCTCATATACCCACAACACACATGCGCAAAACGTGTGCTAAAATGATTAAAAACCTATAGCAAAGCAGATATGTCCATGCCACCTTCATCTGGCAATTCACTAGCACCGAGTTTGTGGAAAGTGACATTTATTAGACATTAGTAGCGAATTGTTATGGGGTGAATGAGAGGTCACGACCTGTGATTTTGATGCAAGGTAAGGTAAAAAAAAAAAAAAGGTGTTCTTGTAAAAGCAGAGCAGACTGCAGGTGCTCCAGCACAAGTATTTTATAGAACAGTTTTGCAGCAGTCATTTGACCTCAGGGCTTACCTCCATGTGCTTCTACACATGCTCATACATGTGTGTGCGTACCTGTGTGTGACTCTTCAAGGGTGCATGTGTACCACACGTCCTGTATCCATCTAACACAAGGGCCCATGCTTTTCTAGACACACAAGCATAAAAATGAAAAAGGCAGTGACATAATGACCTCAGGCCCTGCCCTCATTCTTAACATAGTTAATACTTTCCACTGTCTAACTCAATCATACTCTATCCATCTTTCCATTTCACATTCACAAACACAGCACAGACAATACTATTATATTACTGCCCCAGTCTCCCATGGCAACTCCCTGAAAGCAAGCCTTGCTCTGTATGATTAGGATTGGTACAGCCACTATTGCTCAGCTTCTTCCCAACGTGTTTATTCTTGGATATCATTTGTGCATCTGCTGTCTCTGAAGACGTCTTGATTTAATCTGGTTTGCCCTTGGATCAAAAATTTCCTGAGAGGCCAAATGAAGGCTGTCTGGACAGAGGAAAGGATCCCATCCTATGTAACACACAGCCTTATTAGAAGCAGCCTGTGTCAGTGGGGATTGTCATGCACAGCTGATGAAGCTTAGTCCACTGTAAGACTGAATTAATGAGGAAATAATGAGTCGACTGTGTGTGTGTGTGTGTGTGTGTGTGTGTTTTGTTTTTTTTAACTTAGATCACAAAATGATATAAGCCATTATCTCAGGAGTTGGTGATGGCTGAACTCAGCAAAAACAAATACGAGACGATCTTTCAGCACACGATAAAGTCCTGAAACAACGCTAAAGGGCTATGAACAGCTGTGACCATCTGGATAACAGAGCTCAGGAGGCCTAAGTAGCAATTATATCTAAGTGTTAAAAAGTGAAGATCCAGCTGGGAGAGGTGAATTTGTGATGATACTAAACCAAAAGTGCTTATGTAAACCTCTGCAGGGGAAAGCCAAGGACATCATGACTGTAGCATATCATCTGTTTAGCAAATGTTCCAATGTTATTAGGATCTTTCGATTTAAAGCTGCTATATTTTTAAAGAAAGAGTGCATTAATGGCCGTGCATCTTTGAAAGGAGAATCTGTTTGTGGTGTTTTATGATACAGTTTTGGTTTGTTCTTGCTGCTCTCAAATTTATAGCAGCAGCTACAGACAGCTGATTTCACTAAAAACTGAGTGCATGCCACCTGCTCTGGATCAAACAGCAGACAGATAACACAGCGTACGCAGTGAATTTTAGAGCTAAAATTTCCCTGAGAACTTGGTGGACAGCAGACCTGAGTTGAAAAAGGCCCATTAGATCGGCGTTTATTGGGTGGATAAAAAAAAGAATAGAAATAATAGAAATTGTTTGTTACCATTGGTCCATGAAAATATAATAATTGGTCAGTTCTGTACTTCTCCCAATAAAGTTTTTGTATATTTTTGTTTTCTAGTCATCAGAATTTAGATTCTATGAAGTACCCATTGTGATGTCGCATTTGATGATCTGAGTGAGATCTGAAATGGAGGACACTGTACAATTAGAGCCAGTTACCCAGCTTTTGTATCTTTTCCGTCTGTACGCCACACGAATGTAACCAGTGGTTTGCACCTTGTTGTTAACCCTCTGTATTTCCAGTCATGACGGTGTCTCTTGGTTGTAGACTTTGACGATGGTATGCCTACCCCCTCGAGTGTTTTTGACTGAATTAGATGGTATGAAATTGTTCTTATGAAGTTGTACTTAAAGTGAAAAGGCATAAAATACAAATTCAAAACGTTGTATTTTCAACTTCAGATGCGATGTCCTCTTCATTTGTCCTGAGATAACAAGGGAACAGATCTCGCCTGGCCATTAAACTGGCTGTCAGTCATGTGTAGTTATTTTTAAAAATGGTGAGCTGTGTATAAAAGTTATTGTAATTTTTATGCCGTTATTGCAAAGTCTGCAGCAAAGTCTGTTTCTTTGTGTATTTGATTATAGATGTGATGCTAAATATACATAAAATAGAAACAATATTGTATTAAATAATACTTGAAACCTGCAACAAAAAGAAAGTATTTGAAAAATGTTTCCTGAGTTTGTAAATTAGGTTATAGAGAGGACTATTTTCTTAGGGATATTTTTTTTTGCCGAATTCATGTTTAATGCACTTCCACATTTCTTGCATGCTAAATGCTAAATAAAAAAACTCTTTTAAAAAAATGTATGCCCCTGAAATGTATCTCAATGTGGTTTTTGTGTTGCAGCAGAGAAACCCCCACGACCACAAAATGTGAAACCAACATCTGTGGAGAAGGGCCTTAGAGAAAGCTGGGAGCCGTCTATCCATCTGGATGGAAGACCTGTGGACCGCTTCATGATCAGCTCCAGTAAACCCACAAGATCCCATCGATTCACTAAAGCGAGCAAGGACAGTCGTGCTCCTATGTTGGAGGATGTAGGTAAGAAAGAGTCAATAAAAGTTCAAAAAGAGGAGGATGAGAATGTGAGATGTCACGATTCCATAACCATGTTGAAGTTATGCCTGTAAATGAACTGGAACTAATGGTAAGTGCTGGTAGAGCTGCTAGACAAAAAAAAAGTAATCCAGAAGAATATAAATGGACACAGAGCATACAAATAAGGTTTCCCTTAAACCGTGAAGTGAGCTTTGAAATCCCACAGTTCTGCATTTTCTCAAGATAAATGCCAAGAATGAGACAAGGAACAAGAAGCAAAGTAGACACTCAAGACATTGAGGTGTGTAAAAGTGCATGCGTATGTTGACTTGATTAATGATGATTAATCTCTATATGTGGATTAGTTCATAATTGGATGCACTGTCCTAAAAGTTTGCCAGAGGGAAAGCACACCAGGGGTGATGTGCGTGTCAGGCCATCGTCATCCTAGCTCAGTAGACAGTGGTTGTTTGAGGCTTTAGAGAAGGGGCTTATTTTTAGGTTTTAATAGCTTCTTTTGGTATTTTCTAATCCCACATTGTAAAACTTAAGTCAGGTCTTTATGCTTCTATATACATACATACATACATACATACATACACTTTGTGTTACTGACTGAGTCCAACCTGCTTTTGTCATTATTTCATTTTCCTCCATCCTTGGCACCATACTTCATCAAAGTCTGCAGCCAACCCAGCCCTGCTCCTATAATCCTGTGTTGTGGCCACTTACTCTGTGCATGTGTGTGCGCGCAGCTTATGTGTGTCTGGTGGTGGTTGTGGTGAAGGACTGGGTGGTGCCAACTGATGAAGTCATGCATTGTCTGTGTTTTCAAAAAAAGTGTCTACAGATGCCTGTGTGTTTGTGTTCTTGTGCGTTGCCCAGTACAACTTCTGGTGGCCGCTGTGGTCTCTCCAGCTCCAGCACTGTTCACCATAAATCTCAAAAACCTGGCAACTGAGCTCAGTCTCAACTTCGCCTTTCCAGAAATTCCTTGCAGATCATGTGTTGTTCCCTCAGCAGCATGAGAGCAGCATCAGCTGTCATAAATAACCCCATACTGTTTGCTTCAACATCATTAATGTGTCTGGAGCAACAAAGACAAAACGTCGACCTGATATGATATGATATAGACTATGTAAACAATATTTTAAAAATCAGTTTGTTTTTCTTTTTATTTACAGAATGAACTGCTTCCATACTAGTTGATATATCCAGATATCCTGTGTTTTTGTTTCTAGACCCTGAATGGGTTAACCTGGATGGCTTTGCTGTGTTGGGCGGTGCACCTGTCAGCAATTTATCAGCAGGTAAACCTAATCAGAGGGCATCATTACCAACATTACATGACAATGGGTTAAAAGCATGAAACGAGGAATTGTCTTGAATTCTCTTTCTTCAGGCAATAATCACCCTTTTCTTTATCCCCTTACTTGGTTCTTCCCCACGGGATGAATAAAGGGAAACACTCATTTGTCTCTAACGCCCACATTTCACTCTATTTAGATAGATGTGCTTTTCTTGTAGGTGAACCGTATTTTAAATCTGTTTTAGAGAGTGTTACCTTTAATGACCTTTTATGCCATAGCTATTTTTTTTTAAATTACCTGTCAGAGATTTTAGTAGACTGTGAAATCACAAGAAATCAGGAACAGACACATTGCTGGAAGCCAATATTGGCAGACTATTTAGAAAGTGAACACTTTGAGTTGCGGGTATGAGTGCCCTGTCAAGCAGGCCTTACTGATTTATCAGGTGAGTGAAAGCTAACTGCAAACAATTTTGGTAATTAATTATTAGAGTAATTTATTAAGGAAATGTATTAATAATTGGTGTTATAACATTCTCAAAGGCTGTTAATGTCATTGTGTGGTCAGTCCAAAACGATGTAAGCAGTAGTGATAGCAATGCAAACATATGGCCCTCTAGGACTTATTTTTACAGTTCTGTGCAAAAGTCTCGAACCACCCCATATTTTTTTTTGCATTTTCCTTCCAAGGAGTCAGACTTTTTCTTTTCTTTAAGTGTCTTGAGTATAAGCTCTCCAACTTCCAAAGTTCTTTGTTTGGACATTGGCTCCTTCACTTGTTTTTCAAATCTCGTACCTAACCCTTTTCACACTGAGGAGCAACTTAGCAAAAAGACCTGAGTGATACATCTGGTCCTGCTGTATGCCAAGCCTCATCAGACGTAGTCTCAGTGGAAAGGTGGCTGTCAAAAAACTATTGTTAAGGAAGGGAAACAGGGAGAAAAGGCTGGGGTGTGCCAAATTACACAAGGATTGGACTAAAAGTCGATGGCAACAGATCTTATGGAGCGATCAATTGAAATTTGAAATTTGTAGTTTAAATTATCGTCAGTACGTATGGAGGATGTCAGAAAAGAGGTACAATAGACAGCATCTACAGCCATCTGTAAAACATGGTGGAGCTTCTGTTGTGGTTTTAAGCTGCATTTCAGTCAGCGGTGTTGGAAATCGTGTCAAAATTGCAGAAAAATGTAGAAAAGTATGATCAGATATTGATCAACCATACAATATTATCTGGAAAGCATCTAATTGGCAACAGCTTCATTTTTCAGATTGACAATGATCTCAAACACACTGCAAATGCAGTAAAAGACAGAAAAACACCAGTGGAACACATTCAGTCATGGATTGGCCTCCCCAGAGCTTTCCTAAGAGCCGTTGTGGTTATTCCAATATTAATTTTCAAGCTTGGTGGAATTCTCCAAACTATGTTTTTACATGTATTGTGCATACATGTGCAGATTTGCATGTTTCGCTGAATCTCTGTATGCTGTCACTATTTTCCATTTCCAAAGTTTAAAAAAAATTAGTGGTGGCTCAAGACTTTTGCATAGTGCTGTACTTTTTTTGTGTGCAGCCCAATGTGATATTTGAGCTTATGTCATGTAAATGCTCATTGGTCTAATCAAACGTAGACATGCATCATACTGTTCCAGTGGACAGTTTAGTCTCTATAAACCACTTAATCGTGGCAGGAAACGTGGAGAAACTCTTTAAAATTCCTTATTGAAAGGATGGGAAGCAGAAAGGGAACCCAGGGCCTTCTTGTTGCAAGGCAGCAGTGGTAACCGCAATGCTAGTCTGGAGTTTCAGTTTTATGTGTTTGAGGCAGAGCTGCTCCAGGAACATGAATAATCATATTTGTTGATTTACTTTGGGGAATGGAGACGCCTGGAAAGGCAGACCAAAGCCAAATGAAAAGTAAGAGCCAAAAGGAGAAGTAGATAATGTTATAAATCTTCATTTACTATCAGCTGAGAGCTTAATATTGCTTGCTTGATAAAATAATCTAATAATATAATTATTAATTGGATAATTGATAACCCGTTCCATGCCATTTACCAAGCATAGCACTAGAGCTAGCACACTTCCTGCACACTGACATTGTTATATAATGGCAGTGTATACCATCCTGAAGTTTTTTTAATGCTTTAAATTTACTTTATATATAAAAATAACTTAAATGAAATCGCATGTGTGCAAACTGAATGCTCCTCTTTGTTTGATGAAACAGTTCAATTGTAAAAAAAAAAAAAAATATCAGCATGTTAACATTTATTGAGCTTCAGTGATCAAAACAAACAACAATAGCATGATTAGAACATGACTATTAATCAGTCACAGGCGCTTATCAAATGCTGCCAGGCAATTTCTGGTAACTTACAGCTGCAATTTGATATGCGTCTTTTGGGATGATACTAATTTGCTCGTCTAATTTATAAGTCATCTAAGGTACACAATGACTTAGCAGTCTGGTATGCTAATACATAAATTATGGCGACAACATTGGCATTAGTGTTGTATATTTTCACTACAGGTTAAACTGATTAGCTCTGCTGGAAAGAACACTTTGCCATTGACTGGGAATTGTTTGTATAAATTAAACTGTGGGTAAAGTGAGTAAGTATGAGACCCAAAAATACCAATTTGTTTGCGACATTTAGACTTCTTTTTTTAAGGTTGCAAAACGTCAAAGATGACGGTTCAGCTAGTTTTTGAGGAGCGTCCAAGGACATAACAGAGACATTCTTGGGGACCTCAGTCTGAACACTGAGGTGTGCCGCACTCTGTTTTTGCTATGATATGCCTGTCTGTCAGCAGGCAAGCCTCATAGCACCTCGGTCTACTGAGCTTCCAGGAAAAGACATAAGGGATCTGGCATTACCAGCACTGTCAAGTCAGTGGTTTAGTGGTTCGTGGCATTGTGACCTGGGCCAAATTATGTATTGTGACAGTTTTCCAGACAGAAAAAGGGAAGACTGATTAAAACCAAATGGGGATATTTCTGTTTTAAGCTATACTTGGTATCAGAAAAAACAAATGGAAAGGGCTTGGGATGAAAATTAATTGTCAAAGGGTCATGGCTAGATGCCATATGGTGAACAATGTTTACAAAAAATACAAAAGCTATGAATGAGACACTTTAAAGTATTATTTTTGTGGTATTTTACGCTTATAGGATTAGTGCAGGTATAGGTAGAAGAACACAATTTTTGTTAGCACTTAAACCAATAGACCTGTTAAAAATAGCTAATTGTGTGTTGTAAAACTATGCATACCCTTACTGCTTTCACTGCAATTATAGGGTAGACAGCAGCAATGTGCTGCAAATTGAAGGCACTTGATTAATTGATCATCGGCAAGTGTGAGCACTGTAAGCGTGAGCACAGAAAGCAGAGCATAAGAACAGAAATATTGGCAGCTTGATAGTCTGGAGAGTTCAGGCATCACCCATGATATTAAACAACTGTCGATTATAAGGCCATTTCCAGAGAATTTAAAATCCATCATTCTGCAGCGAGAAAGATTATTCACAAGTGGATATCAGTCAAGACAGCTGCCAGTCTTTGCAGGAATGGACATCCCAGCCAATTAACCCCAAGGTCAGAGAAAATGCAAAAAACCCAAGAGCTACATCTTAGACTCTACAGAACAAAAACACTGAACATGTATGACTTGTTTGGAAGGTTGCCAGGAGAAAGCTGTTGCATCTGAACAAACCACAAGACTTCTGTAGCAATGTACTTTGAACAAACCACACCAAAGTGGAGATGTTTGACCGCAATACATAGCACCACATTAAGTCTAAAGCATATCTGTACAACCACCTCATGCAAACTGTCAAATCACCGGGGTGGAGGTGATGATTTGAGCTTGTTTTGCAGCCACAGGATTTGGTACCCTTGCATTCACTGAATGGACCAGGAACTCCCCTGTATAGTATAGCTGCTGAATCATGGGATGTACTTCATTTTTAACAGGATGTATAGACTGTTATGAAAACTCTCTCGTTCACATTTCTGTATGCTTTTATTTGTTTACGGTTTTTTTAAAGCCTTGTTAAACTAAAAAGTGTAGTGGGAAAGACTAACACAACATTTGTCCACATTAAATCTGTGATTTGAATCACACGTGACACAAATTCTTATTCTGATTTCACAGTTCACTTACTGGAAATGTGTGAAAACACGCAAAGCTGACAGGAAAAGCAAGAGAGGGATTCAGAAAGGGGTTAGGGCATTACTAAACAAATAGCCAGTACTGTCTGAATCCAAAGGGAAGACGTTCATTCAGCTGTCCTGGCAGTACAGACAGGAGATACAGACATTAAGTAATAAACAGAGTGATCCAAGTTGATCCAAGTTGATCCAAGTTGAACCAGAAAAACCCCAAACACATGTATTTTCTTCATGGTCTTCTATACATTGTGTTTCCTCGTCACATCTTCTTTGTCCCCTAACCACAAAACTCCTTCTTTTTAAGTCACTTTTAGATATGGTGGCCTCATGTAGACACCTATAATCTCATTTGGCTCACCCTACATGTTGAATAGAAAATAAAGTCTTACATGAAAGTATTGATTAAACCTTTGAAATGCATAATGTTCACCTTTTTACATCAGCTGACTTATCAGTACTCCCCCAGCTGTGCACGCAGCTGTCCTGATGGGAAACAGAGTGGACCTTTCCATCTGAAAGTGATTATGGTAAACAGAAAAGGGAGGAACAGATGGAGAGAATGGAAGAACAAATATAGAGGGAGGGGCAGATGTTTTTTTGTTTTTGTATTGGAAATGCTATCGCTAAGCACTGCAGCCAGATGAGAGGGATTGTCTGACTGTCTGAGTCAGTGTCTGAGATGTTGTCCAAGATGGTGTGACTACTAGCTTTGGATTGAAGCGGGAAGCAGAGCACCAGAAGTTATAGCAGATGACAGGGTACATGATGCAGTTCTTCAGCATTTCCCTTCTGTGACAACTGGCCAGGCTGACAGGCGGTGTTGGATGAGTGTGACAAGAAATTATGTGTTTATCAATAAGCGGATGTGTCTTGAGTGGAAAAGTTATGTGGAAACATTTTCCATGGAGGATAGAGTTTCAAAAAGGCCCCAAAGGCAAACCGAGCACAAAAACCAGATTATGTACATTGGGATTTTAAAGTTAAAATGAACAGTGCAGTCTGAATTTTAAATTTATTATATCCATCAGCAGGTCCAGTAAGATCTTCACAAACAGTGGTGCCCCGAAATCACTCCTCCGTAAAACGGGCAACCAGGATGGACAGGAAGGCTCAGCTGTCAGGTGTGCCTAATGTGAGAACACACAGGAGGGCACCTCAGTCTTCCTCTGGTCCCAGGCAGCCCGAGAGAGTTTTGGCAGGAGTTCCTCTGCTGGAAAGGAGACGCCAACACTACGCCAAGCCTCAGTCTGATCAGAGAAACCGACTCGCACGCAAACTAAGTAAGAGGGCCAATATTTTATACTACTGATCACTAAATGAAATGATGAAATGAACAAAGCTTTAGGTTTTAGTCAAATATGATGCTGAGTAAGAAATGTCAACATGTCCTTATATTATTATTGGAAGATACGGTTGTGGTCAAATGTTTACATATTCATGAATTTCATGGTAATTTTGGACTTTTAATTTCCTTGAACTTTTCTTTTTCCAAGGGTAGAATGATTGTAAACCAGACCTCTTAAAAAAAACAAGCATTGGCTAGAGAAACTTGAATTGATTTTGGATTTTCTCTAAGCCATACAGTGCCAAAATTACAGATGCAGGCTCAAATAAATACATGCACACAACTAATATTTGGTTAAATACCACTTAGCAAGTTGCACCTTGACCGGACATTTTTGGTAGCCATCAACAAGCTTGTGGCATTATTCTGGCTGGAGATTTGATCACGCCTGTTAGGAGAGTTGATAGAGTTTAATTAAATAGGTTGGTTTCATAGCACAGTGCGTAATTCACAAATTTTCCTCATTATTTCATTCACTTTGTGTAGTGCACTAGCACCACTGGCAGCAAAACAGCTGCAGACCATGATACTACCACCACCATGCTTAACATTTTGTACTTTGTTTAGGTTTAAGAGCTCTTGTCATTGTGACCAAATAGTTCAATCTTTATCCAGTGTGACTATAAAACCTTTCTGCAGGAGGCATTTTGGCTTATACGTGTGGGCAGCTGCAAATTTTATTCGAGCCTGAAGGTGTCAGTTTTGGAGAAGGGGTTTCTTTCTTGGTTATGACCCTCTCAGTCCATTGGAGAAGCGGTTTCTTTCTCCATGGTGATGGAAACTGATGATCTAGGTGTTTGTAGTTGTTAAGAAATGGTTCCAAGAGACCTTCCCAACTTGTGGAAATCTACATATTGGAGCCTGTACATAAACTTTTAATCCTGTGTGGATTAGAGAAAATCCAAAATCCAATTAAAGTTGTGCACTTACTGCTTGTTTTTAAAGTATGTAATAGATGCTTTTGAGTCATTCTACCCTGGAAAAAGAACAGTTCAAATAAATGATTAAAAGCCCTAAATTGTTATGAAATTTATGCCCATGATTACCGTATGTATGTATCTTTGACTATGACTTTAGGTGGCACACAATAATTTCCCGTGGCAAAGATTACTGAAATAAACCAGCAATAAAAAGGTTAACAACATTTAGAAGGCATTTGGATTTGTCCTAGTTTCTTATTTATTTGTTTGTTTCCTATTGAAAATAATTTAGCTAAGAGGATACATTTTTTGTACTATCTTTAGTTTCCAGAGTGTAAACCCTGGCCGTGCCTGGTATCCCTTTTTTATTCATAGCGTCTGAGTCCGTTCATGTGGTGTCACTGCAGGCACAGAAGGCCCAGGGTCAGAGCAAACCTGCCAACAGAGCAGTCACAACCAAAACAACCACACCAGGTACCTGCAGGTTTATAGAGAATCATTCTGTATGTCTTTTTTTTTCATAGTAGATATAGAAAATCTGCAAAAATTCTGCAAAACTACCTTGCCAAAGTTTAGAAGAAGTCAGAGGATGATGTATATCCAGTGACTTTAATATTTGTTTGGATCCAGACATTTGGGTTTTTATCTCTTTGTGTGTTGTCTAGCTCCACCTGAACATGAGGCCCAGGACATCAGTGTCAGGGTCATGTCTCCTAAATCAGTTCTCATTTCGTGGGTTGACCCTGCTGTCGAGATGGAGAAAGTTGCCCCCGGGGCATCCAGGTGGGCCCTGTTAAAGTGTCAGTTAACAAGGGGGAAAAAAAAGAAAAATGATGACAAATAGAGAAAAAATAAAACTGAAGTTTAATCTTTCTCAATGGAATAAGGCATTTTCTTTTTATTCTTAACTCAGATCATACACAGTTAGGTACAGGGAGAAGGGTGAGTCAGCACGCTGGGAGTACAAGGAGAGCACGCAAAGGAGAATTTTGATAGACACCCTGTCTGCTGACAGCATGTATGAGTTCTCTGTCAGAATCTCTCAGGAAGAAAATCACAGCAAGTGGAGCGACTCCGTCTTTCAGAGGACTCCAGAGTCAGGTATGTGTTGACTCTGTTTGCTGAGAATTACTTACACAATATCTCATAGTGTCTGATGCAGTAGGAGTCTGTAACTGTGTGAAAGAAATGAAGGGTTATAAAGAGCCAAAACCACTGACTTTTTTTAATAAAATGAAAACAGAAATGATTTTTTCAAAAAAAGAAAAATAATACAAAAGGCAATTCATTCTTGCACAACCCTTTTAAGCTTATTTCCTCATACCACATCTCTTCACATTCACTGCCTATTATTCCTTTTTTGATATATGAGCCTAGGTTTGGCTGCTGCGCTCCCATTATTGAAGCTTTTATACCACGTTTCAGCTCCTGAGCTGCAGTTCATTGGAATGTCAACATTTACTGCCTGGCTCACAGTTTAGGTCTCCTTCATACACCATCTCAGGGGGCACGATCTAACAGTGTATGGCAGCAATATTTTCCTCAGTTGTAGCCTTCTGGCACAAATATCCTTACTGTTTTTACATGCTTTAAGCAGCAATTTCCTCACCCTTTATACTTTCTGTTGCCTATGGTTTCTTTTTTGCTACTTGTTTTCCATCCTGTCTTTCCATTCACTTTTACTCTTCACTTTCACAAGCACCATCTGGGCCACCTGAGAACTTTGAGGTCAAGCCATTAAGAGGAAAAGGGACTGCTGTTGTAGCAACATGGGATCCGCCTGAAGAGCCCAATGGGAGGATAAAAGGTCAGACCAATATAATGAAACTATTGTTATTATAATGATGGCAAAACATAACAATTATTCATTTTCGTGCCATGATTACTCCACCTACGTTGGTGTTCTATAATGGCCACGGATCTTTCACCCAGTGACAATATTTGCATTGTATCTGGATGTGTCCTACAAAACAAAGTGCAGCATGCTGATGTCACAGGGCTAATGTTTGCTGTGAGTTTACTGTCACTGTTGGAACAAATAAAGAAAGCCAGCTAATGCTTTCCAGACATGTTGAAATAGCATCAGTATTTTCTCTTGAATGATCTCACTACCTTTCCAAACTTCTCTTTCAAACAGAGTACATCTTGACTTATGTCCCTGCCATGAAGCCTTTTGAAACAAAAAGCGTGAAGTACCATGGAAGCACCACGACAGCCACCATAGATGACCTCACACCTGGAGACCGTTATATTTTCACCATTAAGGCCACAAATAGGAAGGGACAAGGACCACAGAGCAAGACCTTCAGTGTCGCCATGCCAGGAAGTAAGCATATTTGATAATGTAATTATATAGTCACACTGGGGAAAACAGTCCTTGGAGACTGTGCCACATGTGGCACAGCAACTTTGGAGTTGTTGCTTCAAAGATGGGGACCAGGTCTGTGACTACTTACAGTCAGTTGCTGTGTTCAAAACAACCTTGTCTACCCTTTTGCCATCTGTTGCAAATCTGTTGCTGTCTGAATACACAGAATTTCACAATAATCAGAAATTTACATAACTACTTATGGCCATAGTCCAGCCAGAACCTTATAGATTTAAAACATAAATACAAAAAAAATTCCACAAATAGTAATATAGTTGCTGCAGGACTCTCAATTTAACTGATTTAATTTAAAATTATGTAGGCACTTGATAACCAGGCTTTTGTTATAGGGATATAACCAGAATGCAACCAGTTTTCAGCAGTTATTTTCAAACATTTGCCAATCTGTCTTCCAACTGGTCCAAGTCAGATTGTACTTTTTGGGTAACAGGTTGCCTTCCACTAGGCAGTTGAAAATGGTTGACCTCTGGGTATCTTGCAATTTCATGCAATCATTTGCTGAAAGCAAAAAAAGATGTACCGCCTAGTTCCTAGTTGCAAGGACGTCGCTGTCCTTTTTTTCCCCTGTTGTGATTGAGCTATTAGGCATATGTGTGCATTTGAGCTTGAGACTTGCACATTCTAAATTTTCATTGTCATTGTTATTTTTTGTCTCCTAGCAGGCAGCAGTGCTGCCTCAGCATTTTCAAAAAGCAAGGACAGCCGCAGGACTGGCCACACGCCTTCCAAGCAAGATACCGACCATGATGACATCCAGTCAACAGAAGTGCCAGAAATACCAACCATACAAAAGCAGACACTCCCTGCTGCACCTGTCAACAGGCGTTTTCGTCCACTTTCCCAGACACGTTCCTATCACAGCATCTTCTCTTCCGTCAGGGGGTCAATCAGGAGAGCAGGAAACAGAGGCTCTAACAGAAGAAGGGCTAAGAATGATGAGGAAGAGGAAGAGGAAGAGGAAAACAAAGTACCCACAACACCACCTCCAGTAGAAGAGACTACAACAATGGAATTTGTACCAGAGCCTAAAGACACTGATAATGATGTTTCCCCTGAAACTGAGGATGAAGATGAATATGATGAAGAGCCTCTGACTACTAAAACCCCCTCCCTCAAAGTTTTAACACCTTCTCCAACTAAACCTGCATTTAATCGACTTAATCCACCAAGAAGAAGGCCATTTAAGATTAGGGTCCATCAAAAAGCAGGATCCAAGGATGCATCCACTGGTTCATCTTCATCCTCATCTTCTGCATCATCTTCTTCTTCTTCTTCTTCTGCTTCATCATCATCATCATCATCCTCTTCTGCTTCATCATCTTCTTCTTCTAATTCCCCCACCTCCACTTCTTCTTCTACCTCTTTGGATTCCTCCTCATCTTCCTCATCATCCCCTTCTACGACCTCACTGTCCTCTCCCTCACTTAGTCAAGAATCTGCAGCAAGCAGAAAGGACTATATAGCTCTCACATATCCAGAGTCGAAAAACACCTTTGAAAAGTCCAGCATAACACATGCAAAACCCTCCACATCACTTGCAAAAGTGAACAGTTCACAGCATACACACGTTACACCTGTAGGTAGAGGTTCCACTTCAGCAGGACGTGCCAGTGGCACTGGTTTTGGTTCTAGATATGGTTTAGGCCGAAGATACCCTGGGAGCTTGTTAAGAGGGAATTCTACCCGAATGTTGAATGGTTACAAACCTGCTGTCATCTCACAGTCGAGTTCTCCAAGAAGAACTCAGAGTCAAGTAACTTCAAGCATACATAGTTCAGCAACATCACAAGCCACTTTACCGGAAAACACTCAAAACCACGAAAAGTCAAGCACTCTCAATCCATCAACATCAATGTCAAAATCAGGAGGGACTTCCAATGGTGAAGATGTCTTGGAGTCCTTTAATTCTGACAAGTCACGTTCTACTTTAGAATCTAGGTCTCATGGCTCGACATCTTTGCAAGTGACAAATCCATCCACTTCACAAAGAAATGCGAACCACCCTTCCACTGCAAATACATCAGGATTATCTCAAAGAACTTCACAAAGAGGATCTCACAACTCTGCAAGATCACATGACACACACAACTCACAGAGTTCTCACACATCATCTGAGCGAGACACATCAAATGTGGAAGGAAATGATGACACTAACTACAAAAACACAGAAAGAGAATTGACTAAAGTTGAGGACTCTGCTTTAACTACTAGAACACAACCGACAGAGAAGCCAATGAAGAAGGACACGGAAAAAGATGAAGGAACTAAAGAAAAACCCCCAGTTTCTGCAGGTACCAGAGTCAGGCCTTCATTTGCTGAAAGATACCCTTGGCTAGCTAGTCGTTACCCAGGCAAAGTCATTTCAAGTGCAAGGATAACATCTCCAAGACAGGATAGTAGAGTTCCTTTGACCAGGATGTCATCTTCTGTTGGGGCTGGCAGACCAGTTTTGAGGGGGACAACTACCAGGGTCTCAGGGGCTACAGGTGCTGCTGGAGTGCCCTCAGTACAGGAAACCAGTGAAAATCCAAGTACTTCTTCTACTCGTGACTCACTAAAGAATGGTTTTGGAGCCAGTTCGGTTAAGCCGTCACTGATCAATCAAAATGTAGGCTCTGGTGACACTAGAAACCCAGCTACCTCATCTTCATCATCTTCCTCTTCACCATCCATCTCTTCAAGTCCTGATCATCATCACTCCTTAAGTGGGCACAGAGACTCCAGTGAGCCAAGCCATAGAGAACTTACAAATGACAAACATAGCAATGAGGATTATTTCAGTGAGAAGAACGGGGAAAATGATAAAGTTGCAGATCCTATAGAAGCTCAAGAAAAGCCAGCAGAGCCTGACAAAAATGCAGAAGACAATGCAAGTGTGGATACAGGAGAAAGTTCATCCAGGACCAGACCTGGCACTTCCTCTGGAGTCCCTCTAACTAATCGTCGACTTGGTGTAGGGGTGAATGGAAGGGTACGCTCTCCTCTCTTACCAAACAGGCAGTTTGGTGGGTCTAGGCTTCCCCTAAGAGTACAACCACCACAAAACTCTAGACTGGGCTCTTCAACATCTGACTCTACCTCATCATCATCTGATTCAGCTTCTTCCTCAAATTTACCCCAACCAGTACTGACCTCAGAGAGTGACATTAGCAGTGGCACTACGGTGACAAGGACAGGGGGATTGGTTGGAGGCAACTCCCACTCTACATTAGCCTCATCATCCTCATCTTCATCTCGAGATAGCTTTAGGAACAACGGGAGTAGGCCTCGCTATTCCATCAGAGGGAAACAAAATAATGGCAGAGGAATCAAACCTAGCAATGGAAATGGTAACGTTAAATCCTGTATGCAATTATGTGAAGTTTTTGATGTCAGTTTAACTCACAAATGTTTTAAATAATTTTATAACATCATGCCTCTGCTTATGTTCTGTACCTGTCAGGTAAAAATGGACGACCCAATCTGACAGCAACAGATGATAAAGAGTCCTCTTCCTCTCACGGAGCCAGCAAGGCCACTGGTCAAAGGTTTATCACTGGACCAGATGGAACAAAATGGGTAACTATATTTAATACACTAACCTTAGTTTTACCTGTTCCTGACTCTTTGAGCTGAAGTATGTCCAATATGATGCTTATTGTTGCAGTTTAGAGACCAGGACAGATCATCAGAAGGAACTGAACATAATTTATTGATATACAGAATTCACTTATGGTATTTGATGATTAGACTCCGAATGAAATCCCAGCGATAAGAATTAGGGCAGGACCCCCTGGAGTCTAGATGCTTGTGGTAGTGATTAAAGATAAGATAGAGGCTTGCATGAAGTGACTTGAGTCTGAGTCTGCAAGGTAGAATGAAAGATGATCATGGTATTAAGAATGGAGGCTGATTGGTTTGAAGGAGGCAGGATGGAAGATGATTGGACTACAGCAATGAAGTCAGCATGTAATGAATAGAATAGCAGCCAAACACTTGGGGAAACGAGACAACTGAGTGAATACAAATCCTCCTTATTAAACTCACACATAAGCTTAATTTATACCAGTCAACAAATAAAAATGTAAAAAGTAAAGAGTTAAGAAGAAACACCTTTCACCTATGAAGGTTTTAAGTAGAGATGTTCCTGGAGGCTAATTTGATAGTCAACTAGTCTAAAAGACACAAAAAAGACCTCAGATAACATTTGAAACTGAGCATACTTTTAATAGACAATTATTACGTTCCTTGCTAATCAAATAATGTTATACAATAAGTACTGTTGAAATGTTCAGCACTTTATATTGGGTAGCACATGCACACAGTGTCAGATTAGTATGACTAATGTTAGTGCTGCTAGCAGCAGAAGCTCTGGTTTCTCAAGTGGGAGCATCCACATGTTGGTGCAGACTGTGGTTACACATTGGTTGGTTATATTTATTTTTTTACATCAAAATATAGGAGATCTACATCTCAATGTCAATCATTAACAACTTTTATGTTTATGGAGAGAGTGGGAGGGTGGGGTGCAGCCATCAGTTAGTGCTGTAAATTCTTTCAGCCAGTAACTGCCATTACCGAAATTAATAAAATAAGAATATTACATGCAACCGACTAGTATTTCTGGTGCTGACTAGCAAGGGCAGCGACTTTCAAACATTAGTCACCAATAGCCTTAGTAATGAGTCTTGACTTGTTTGTCCACCAGAGGCCATTCTGCAACTTCCCTGTGGCCATTGCCCACAAATAAAACAACCAACTGATTTGAGCAGAGTGAATAAATAACTACACGTTCCCTAACAAACGTTAGGGTTATCTATTTATATTTTGTGTGTCTAAAAAATGACAGCTGGTATGTCGGAATATCAGCTTTTTAAATCACCATATGTTGGCATTCGACTTAAAAATCCTTTATCCATTGGGCTCTAATTTTAGCATGTACAATTTCCTATAGTTTATTCATTTTAAGAATCAGTCATTTATAGATGTCCTTATTTGCTTTCATTTTGGGAATTGGATTAGGTTGATACAGCTCTTACATACAATCCCGATCCAAAGTTTAAGATCACTTGAAAAATGGCAAAAAATCACATTTTGCATGGTTTGATCTTAACAAGGTTCCAAGTAGAGCTCTGACCTGCAACAAGAAGAAATGGGAGTGAGACGAAACATTTTTTGTGCGTGCAATTTATTGACAACAATAAAATTAAACTGAAACCAAATGTTTTAGAGCTGATCAAAAGTTTAAGACCACACCTCCAAAAAAACACGTAACCCCCCCAAAACAGAAATCCAAGTTCCAAACATGAACTCAGGAATGAGTAGCTCCAACGTTATTGTTGATCACTTCAAAAATTTGTTGCAGCATGCTTGATGCAAGCGTTTCCATGAGGTGAGTGGGAACATTTCTCAAAGTGGTAAAGACGGACACACGAAAGGAATCTACTGTCTGGAACGGTTGTCCCTTTTTGTAAACTTCCCTTGCCATCCATCCCTAAAGGTTCTCAATTGGATTTAGATCAGGGGAACATCCAGGATGGTCCAAAAGAGTGATGTTATTCTCCTGGAAGAATTCCCTTGTCCTGCGGGCATTGTGTACTGTAGCGTTGTCCTGTTGAAAAACCCAGTCATTACCACACAGACGAGGGCCCTCAGTCATGAGGAATGCTCTCTGCAACATCTGGACATAGTCAGCAGCTGTTTGACGCCCCTGCACCTTCTGAAGCTCTGTTGTTCCACTGAAGGAAAAAGCACCCCAGACCACTATGGCACCCCCTCCACTGTGGCGTGTAGAAAACATCTCAGGTGGGATCTGCTTGTTGTGCCAGTAATGTTGGAAACCAACAGGACCATCAAGGTTACATTTTTTCTCATCAGAGGTTAAAACTTTCTTTGACCTTTCAATGTCCTATGTTTGGTGCTCTCTTGCAAAGTTCAAATGATCAGTTCTGTGGCGTTCAAGGAGACAAGGCCTTTGAAGACGTCCCACCTCAGCAGCGATGACGCGCTCCGAGAGACCCTACCTGACAGAAAATGACAATGAATCGACATTTTTGCACAGATTTGGCCTTTTAAAGGCATGTGGTGCTAAATGTTTGATCAGCTCTAAAACAGCCTGTTTCAGTTTTAGTTTATTGTTTTCAATAAATTGCATGCTTAAAAAAATGTTTTGTCTCACTCCCATTTCTTCTTGTTGCATCTTGAAGCTCTACTTGGAACCTTGTTAAGATCCAACCATGCAAAATATGATTTTTTTTGCCATTTTTCTTTTGATTGAGACTATATCTTTGTTAAAAATAAAAAAATAAAGCTATGGTCACTGAAATATTAACTTAGAATAAAAACTGGAAACAGAGTGGTGGTTAGACTCGAGGAGTTTACCCACCCATTTACGCAAAATGTTGTGGGACTGAACAATGAAAGTACGATATGTTTGTTGTTCAGAAGTGAGATGAGATGTAACATAAGCCGTGTCTGTGGTTAGAATTCGTCACCTTTGTACTTTGTACTTCGGCTGATATTAGTTTTACTCTCAGAAAAAAAGTAACAGAGCTAATTGTTCAAAAAGCTGTCTTTCAAAGTAACAAATGTGGAAAGTTATTCACCTCTTTAAAAAGTCTTCAAAATTTCTACAAGTCAGATGTTCCCACTTAAACTGTTTACTCTATGTCTATGTTTATGAGAACCCGTTTTGAATAGGACTATGACGTTCCTAAACATCACAGTCAGGATGAAGCGTAGTCCTCACATGAGGCTCCATCAATTTTGCAAACATGTTTCTTTCTTTAGGTGGTAGATTTGGAGCAGGGGATACTTATGAATGGGGATGGAAGAGTTCTCCAGGACTCCCAGGGCAAACCCAAAAGAGTGGTCCTCGGAGAGGATGGACGCACTATTTTTGGTGAAATACTTCAGCCATTTTTATCTTAACATCTACAGCTTGGACAATGTATTTAAAAAGTGCAGCGAGTCCATTATTGGCTAGATAGAGACACAACTTTTGTATGTTTGCCTCTGTACACTGCCACAGTGAATTTTAAATCAAACAATCAAGATGTGATTGCATTACAGTCTTCCAGGTTTAATCCTTTGGGCTTTATAAATATTTGCAATATTTGTTCAGGAATTATAGCCAGTTTTATACACAGTTCCCTATTTTATCAGCCCAACTGACTGACAAGAAGTTTCATGGCCAGATCATATGTCATGTACAGTATGACATGACATATGAAGCAGACATAATGTCTGAAGTTCATCCAAATTTGATTTTGTATTTTAGAGTTTTTCTCTGTAATTTTAAATATAAAGCCACAAGAGACAACAGTATAAGCAATAGAGTATAGGGTTATAGGAGTATCCAAATAAAGAAGAGTACTTTGCGGATCATAAATTATTTGGCATCTAACTATGTCAAAAACACTTTTAATCAGGCAGGCATACCAATGTTGAGGTCTACAGTCAGAGATGCATCTGTCAGATTATTATTTATTTGTTTGTTTATTTATTGGTATTATTATTATTACAGAGGCAGAACTACAAGAGCTGTATTGTTGTGGACTTGACTGATTAATGAAATATCAGCTGAAAGTGCTTTAGAAACTTTGACCATTGTCATCTGTCTGGATGCATGTTAAAAACAAAACAGCTGCAGAACAGCATTCTTTCACATCTGCCATTTTTTAATATTTCACAGTTATCACAAGGTTAATCTTTTTTTTTTGCATTACAAAAGAAACTCTAGTATTTTGCACCTTTATGCATTTTAGTGCAAATCTGGTTTGTATTGAAGACACAGGCATTAATATTCAGCTTCATTTCTACCCAATCACACATCGCCAGATCACATGGGTAGTCCTTTGGTAAGCCAGGACGGTATTGCCCTGTTTGGCCATGGGAGAGATAGTCAACCTGTGATCAATCCAAAAGACAAGGTCCTCATGGTTGGAGGGAAACGTGTACTTGGATTGGATCGGCCTCACCCCAGGACCTCCACCACCACCACCACCACCACTACTACTACCATGGCTCCTACTACCACACCTGAACCCACCACCACTGACTGGACCACAGAGGAGTTTACCACTGGATTTCCATACCCAACCTGTCCACCTGGGACCTTTTCCAAAACAGATGAATATGGTTATCCCATTCTGGACTCAGAAGGAATCTTGGACTGCTATCCAGAAGGTATGTTTTTAACTGGAAATTCATATGCTGCAGACATTGTCATAAAATGCTCATCAAAACAGAAATATGTACAGCAAGAATAGAAGAATATACTCCAGTACACCTACGTACACTATTGTTTACCTGATAGCTTTTCCACAGAGCTGAAGTCAAGTTCAGAGCCAGAATGTTCACATAAAAAACTATGACTTCACTAAATCTCTCAGTTGTATTATTTGTCATGACCATCTAGCCCAAGGCCAACAGTGCTTCCTGTTTGCAGCCACAGATTCCACTATAACCCTTTAAATGTGTATATAAACGTGTGATCGGGTCAGTTTGTGTGTCTGGATGTATATGTGCATGTGAGTGTCTATGTGAGACCACAGAAACCACATGGACATCTGGAGGCTAACTATAGCCAGAGTCCTGCTGGTTTAAGCACACTATGAAACCATCAGTTGTGCATTGCATTAATGTTATTACACAAACAAAATCAAAGAAACAGACTTAGACAAATGCATAAACACAAAAAAGTAAATTATATAGATGCATACAGAGTAATTTGAAAATATTCAAGCTATACCAACAACACTATACTAGACGATCAAATTTGCAGATACAATGTTACAGCAATAATAATAATACGTATTTGTCTTACATTATAAGCTAAAATAAATAAAATAAAATGCACTTCGAAATGTGTCTTCAGTCATGTGATTTTGATGCTATAGCTTGTTCTACTTCTCTGACAGAGGACTCCTCAGGAATGGAAATGGACTTCATGCTTACAATGACCAGGGTGCCTGATGCTTTAGTTCTTAAGAAAGGTATTGGCTGAGTTTGGCTTCGGACCATCATAGCGCCACTGGGCTGGGACCAACTAAACTGCACTGTATGCTCACTGTTTGTTGTCTATTACGCTGCACTGTTTGTTTATTGTCTGTTTATTTGTCAGTGCATCTGTTTGCAGGCTATTCCCATCTCTTCCCTTTTCCTTGCTGTGTCCTTCTTTGTTTCTCATTTTGCTTGTTTTGTTCACGATTCATTGCTTGGTTTTAGGATATTTTCCATTACACGCTGTATTTAATCACTTTTCTTCCTGGATACACACTGCATGTAAACTGACTTGCTGAAGAGAATGCAATGCACTTGCATTGCATTCAATGTTTTAACAGTCTTTTGTAATGTAATAGCTGAACTCAAGCTCGAGCTGCAGAGGTTGGTTGCTGTTAGCTGTTGCACTTTCTAATTTTATTACAGTAAATTTTGAGATCTAAAGGAATCAGTTGCATGTGACATTTGCTTTTATTCTTAGGTTTGCTACAAAGGTCACAGTAAGTGTTGCAGTATTTTCTTAGCATTTCCCTGCCGTGCCTAATAGCTGGTTGCATGTGTGTGGACCATGATGTAATGCTAAGGTCCACTGGTGCAGCGCAGGAAAAAAATATGTGATGAAAGAAGAAGAAGCCCACTGAATCCCACCACATTGGTTTGCTTTGGAGACTTTTGAAACAGTTGTTGTCTTCAAGTCTCTCTCCCCCAAACCCCCCCCCCACCACCCCACATCCCCCTCCTCTACTTCCCACATGGAAAATATGGGTAGCAAAAGTACAGCTTTGGGTGTTGTGTCACACATCTGCCCTCAATTAATTAAATCTGACATTCTCATTACACAGATCATGGCAACTCTTACAAAGGATTAATGAAACACAGCAGCAGATTATTAAACTAGGATGTAAATAACATAAATCTATTTGGATCAAAACCTCACTGACACATGTGCTGTTGCTAGATGAGTTTGTTGTCCAGACCACCCCGCCACCAACCACCACCACCACTACTACCACCACCACCACAGAGATCACGATGCCAGAGGTGCACATCAGACCCGTGAACAAAGGCCCTTCAAACGAGTTTGACCTGAGTGGGAAGAAGAGGTTCACAGGTACTTAAAGTCTTTTTTGCATATCTTCTTACAAATCCATGCTTGTACATACTCGTGCCTTAATGCGATCTATGCAGTTTCACAACATGCCACTCTTCAATGGCAAATATTACTACAATGTAAAAAGAAAAAAGTGAGTGATATGACTGCTTTTATGAGGAAGGATCACACAGTGTGATGAGACTGAAACTGGACACTTCATAGTGTCGTTCAAGTCATGTTTTTCAGGTCATTGTTGGAATTTGCAGAGCCACAGCTATAACAGTTCTTATCATCAAAAAGAAAAAAAGCTTCACAGACCTGCTCATTACTAAAGAACAGAGATAAAGTAGATAATTAGATAACATAAAGAGGCATTTGGAAGTCAATTATACTGTATTTCTATTTTAAAACCAGGTGTTTTAGGAGTTAGCATAAACTCAAAACAGTGCTATAATGAGACTGAATATTTGACTGATATTTCTCCAGAAACATGAGATGTTTAAGTAGGTAATGGTTTGTCAGCACCATGTTTACAACTGTTTTCTGGTGCTCCAAGTGGCCACAGAAAACATACAATATATAGGCAAAAGTATTGTCTTAATCTTTGAATTTGTGTGTTGTCAGTCCTGTTACAACAGATGTGTAAAGCACAGGGTCATGCAGTCTCCCTTTACAAACATTTGTGAAAAAATAGGTTGCTCTAACAAACTCAAATCAAGTGATGTGCTGTAATAGGATGCCACTATAGGCTCCTATAGGTGGCAGTACTTTTGTCCAATAGTATAAATATATATATAACAAAAAATCTTTATGTACTGAACTAGAGTTTGCAGCCAAAAGCTTCACGGTTTCCATTTTTTAGTGACCATTCTGCTGGATCAGTCCCAGAATCATTAGTGAACATCTGTTGATCAGTCTACATTACATCTGCGCCAATTTCCACTCACTACACTAAAATATAGCATGATATACCCTTTAGATATACAAGCATTTACACTGCACTCTCTTTTTCTCCCACTTCCTCCAATTAGCTGTGAGTATATCTTTATTTGGGTTACTGTGAGTTTAGTCAAGAGACAGCTCAATTTCTTTCTTTGTGAGTATATTCATATGGATGGAGGTCTTACCCTGCTGTAAATAATAACCGGAGCTCTGTTGTATTTTGTAGAGGAGTAATACACTTTGGACCTTGATTTTGGTTTTCGTATCAATAGCTCATAAATGCACGACCTTCTCAGGTTGCACGTTGACAACATGCCACAAAAAAGAAAATATACAACCACACCTTAATTGGATTATAATAACTATGTTCAGGAAGGACATTTTATTCAGGGTCTTTAGACTTCATCCTTAACTATGGCCCCCTACTGTCTTTTAACTGTTCTTGTGTGCTTTCTTTGGCCTCTCATACCCCGTCACCTCATATGGTTTCACAAACAGACTGAAATGTTCTCTCAACAGAAATAAAAGCAACATCTATGTTACTATTCCAAACACTACGTAATGTTAAAGGTCCTTTTAATAGGTGCCTTTTTGTAATAGCATGTAGACTCTAGCCACAGGCTTTAAAAATAAATTACAGCATTTCAAGAACATGATCAATAACTTCTTTTAACTGTGGATGTTTTCATGGTGAACATACGGAGAGTTTGAAAACAGACTGTTCTGTAATTAGTGCAAGACAGAATTCATAAAGTGAGAGCTATTAAGTAGGATGACTAATGATAGTCAAAATTATTGCAATATTTAAACTACAAAAACATCAGTTCCTTCGTGTCAATAAGGTCCCTGCTTCCCTGTGGACTCCAGATACGCCTAAACATGCAGAGCAACAGAAGATGTTGTACAAGAGTTTGTAAAGACTGAGTTTGTAGTTTTCCTCATGGCGCGTCTATTGACTTTGTGGAAAAAATACTGGCAGTGCACCTTTAAAGTAGAGTTGTGGCAGCATGAAGCTGTTGTAAAGGTTTTGTAGTCGCTGTGGCCAATGAGAGTCAAGGTTTATCAATTCTGCATGTGAATGAGCTCAGAGCACAATTAGCTTCTATATAAGACATGAATAAAAGCTTTACTTTAACTTACTGACAGATTTAATGCAACATGTCATTATCATTTAAATTGATCTTTGCAAGAAGCATTGTGAAGGGAAAGATTTATTGCTGTGTTTTTATCAGTCATGTCATAAATATCAGTGACATGTTACGCCAGAAGCCACGGTGAAACGATAGCGCAGCTTCTCTCTCGGTACGCGACGACTGTCCTGCGACTACACACCTCACATAGCCATCTGAAAGCTATTACTTTCCCAAGTCCAAAATGGAAATCATAAAAGTTAAGGCTGCTGACCTCAGCAGAGAAGGAAGAGTCTTTTGGCTCAATGTGGAGACTTCCTCTTTCCTATTTATTAGTTTAATATATCTTAGGTCCTCTTTAGCAGCCTGCCAGTTTACTGATATGCGTTTCATCAACCATCCAACGTTGACTTCCCCTTCCTGTCCTTGCCCATGCTTGGTTTGTTTTGTATTAATCTGGCAAAAGCAGACATGGGACAAAAAGTATTAACTAATAATTTTCAGCAGTTGTGTGAATATGCGTTGGACTTACTTCCAGATGGATGGAATTTGCCGCATTGGGCAAGAAAATGAGCATCAGGATATTTGGACTATTAGAATGCAAATTTATGCCTTACTAGACTAATATTACAGCTGACATTATGTGAACTTTCCTCATACTGTTTCCCAGTGGCTTTTGATGCACATCAGATGTCAGTTTCTGCCTGTGTGCTTTTAGATTTGTTTGGGGGTTTTTCTTGTTTTTTTAACAAGCAGAAGAAGATAGTGTGTCTCTGTAGGGAAGTGCTTTAAGCAGTGAAAAACGAACACATGAGGAAAGTAAAACATTTGGATCATCCACAAGCACGGGCCTCCACAGATCCTAGACATGTGGACACAGCCTTACAAGCACCCTATAGGCACATAAATCTGCTCACTGCGGTGGCAGATGATGTATTTCAGCGTATGAATGCAGAGAACAAAAGCCATATGACCACATATCGAAGCCTTTACCAGCCAAAACCCACGCAGTTTAACCGTCTGAGGGTTGATGAGTTGATACTGACATGTGCTAGACTTTCGGCATTCAAAGAGGGCCAGTCATCTGGGGAGGTGGGAGCGAGGCCAGACTTCAGTGGTTCCCTCCAAATCCCAGTCTGACTAGGAATTTTGTGATACTTGAAGTATTCACAGCTGTAGATTCAGCTCTCCTTTCCAGAATCACTGAAAACAAGTACAAATTTTAAATGGAAAGGACAGGGAAGGGACAGTCAGATGAGCATGTGGCTAGAATCTGACTTCCTTATTACAACTCAGAAATGAGAATTATAGTTTTCACCACATTTGCAAAAGGAAAATAATAAATCAAAATTGGGTAACTAGAAAAAGTACTAGAATCTTGTCATGTCTTTTATTGTGTGCATTTACAATAAATATTTTAAAAATTACCAACGTTATATATATTTTTTAAATTATATATATTAAGAAGATATCTTCCTCAAATTTATGTTATTAAAATAAGCAACCTAATCCGACATTTATTCTTTCCATCAGCTCCATACGTAAACTACATCCAGAAGGACCTGGGAGCACCTTGCTCTTTAACAGAGGCTCTGGAGTACCTTCAGGTTGACGTCCTGGAAAACTTAATGAAAAATGACAGCCTGGCAGCCAATCACAACCAGACTCCCAAAAACAAGCCTCATAACTTCACTGTGGTCGCTATGGAAGGCTGCCACTCCTTTATCATCCTGGACTGGGCCCGCCCTCTCAAGGATGATATGGTGTCAGGTAAGAAATGTTGTTAATCTAAATGGTTCTGTTATTTTACAGTGACTATGCATCTGTAGTTTTGTTTTGTTGGCTTTTATACATATTTTATCAGAGACATTTCCATGTTTTGTTTTTTTTGATTAAACGTGGTGGAGCAGAGGGGACCCCCGTGGGGGCCACATGGGAAAAATCTAACTATGAGATATTTGTTTGAAAATTCAGCAAGTTCTAAAATTTTTATTGTGAACAAATCTCCTAACTTACTACTAACGAACTAACAAAATGCAGTGTTAATCACAATCATAAATATGTTTAAATGTATTGAATGACAAAAGTAAAGACCAGTGTCTGTGTTTTAAATTCACCTTTGCACTGCATGTGATTATACATTGTTGAGTATTATTATAAAATGTTACTAAAGAAATGAAATGAAATGAAAGCTATGAAAACAGGAAAGTTGTAGCTGATTTAAATTTGGTCAATGTTACCCTAAAGGTCGTCACGTCTCAATAGGTTTCAGTGCAGTTGTAACATTCTCCGGCAGATCGTTCAATGTGTGCAGAAATCACACATAAGCTCTTCACTTTTAAACTGACCTCAGTTTTGTGCGCAAGATCATCGCCCGTGATGACCAAGTACTTTTAAGCAGTTGAAAAGTCAGCTGAAGAGACGGACCAGGAGCTTGCTGTTGATTTTGTTTGACAGTTTGTCCCCTAAAGTGAGAAGGACTTCTACTGTTCAGTATTGAGGCATCTGATGGGAGAACTTTCAACAACAACAATCGGAGCTGTGGTGCACTCCAGAGTTTGATTGTGTGGCAGATTAGAGCAGCGGTCCCCAACCCCCGGGCCTCGAACCGTGAGTCGTTTGGTACCGGGCCGCGAGAGTTGAGGCTCAGGTGTGAAATGTATGGTTTTCAGGGGTTTTATCGGTTTTCAGCGCTATTTTGTTATCGTTTTTAGCGTTAACTCGGTTTTCCTGGGTCTTTTCACGTGTGTTATGAATAAATCTTCTTTTTTTCGGTACAGGTACTAGTTTTATTTTGTTGTAATTATCCGCGACACCTTAAAGGCCGGTCCGTGAAAATATTGTCGGGCATAAACCGGTCCGTGGCGCAAAAAACGTTGGGGACCGCTGGATTAGAGCACACTGTAAATACATCTGTTTTTTGGCAACAAAAACTACCCAGACCACTAATCAGATCAATCAAATCAGTCAAATTCCAGCAAAGTATTGCTGTGTTTACATTTTTCTGTGACATCCACACCTGTTTAATACATAGTCTGTTTCATCATATTCTCATCTGTTGTGGTTCACCAGATACCTTGAACATGTTATCAGCCTCCCTCCGGACTCACATTTTAAAACTCAGTCCAGCAGCTTACTGGGAATAAATCGTGAAAGGGCAGACGGCATAGAACACTTGGAATAGTGTTCCTAAACTCCCACCGCTTCTCAGAGAAAACCAGAATTCATCTGACCTTGAAATTGACACATGGAAAAAGGGAAAAGAGAGGAGAGTGGAGATAACGGCCTTCTGTATGGGCTATCAGAGGTAGCAATCTGGCCAGCAAGAGAAGCAGTATGTTTTCTTTGGCAGGCAACCACAGACTCGTGGTCATGCAGTGCACAGGTTCATCATCTGATGTGTATAACAGATAGGTCTGTGCTGTCACTGGTCTTTTCTTTCCTTGGATTCTTACCCACTGTTCTTGGTTACTTAAAGTTTTATTAGACTTCTGTGCCTTATCTGTCTGTGCTTTTTTTGGCATCAGTGATTAGTATTTCTCCCATTTAAACTGTCCTAAATAATAACTTCAGATATCTACTTTTTTCTTGCCCACAAATCTTATCATAGAAATGAAAAAAAGGAAGAATTGATCGCAATAAGAACGATTTTCCGTGTGCACAAAATCTGATGTAGTTTCTTCTTTAGTATTTTGTTGACCGCCATAGTTGTCACAATTTCCTGTGTTTCCTTTCCTTTCCTTTCCTTTCCTAATGGTCTAGGCTACTATATATTACTCTAGATATACAATATACATTAACTGGCATATATATATGCAGGGTTAGTTCACACATCCAGAGCTAATCACAAAGGGCTGTTTTTGTAATTAGGGGGTGTTTGCACAACCATGCATTACGACCATTATGGCTTTTTTAATAACTATTGCATGGAAACAGCTGTTAGCATCTGGTTTTGTGAGTTTTCACCTGTATCCAACTTCTGGTTCCATTTACTCTGATGCATTGAGGGCATTTTCTTTGAAGGCTTTAAACAAAACATACACTTTATTCACTGAATACTTTAACTGTTGCTTTTGGCTTAAAGAACTACCTTCAAGAGACACAATTTATACCCATAGTAGGGGAAATTGCCCTCTATAGATTACACAGACAGACAGCAAAAGCAAGGATACTACTCTATCAAACCTCGATCTAACTATGCAAAAGGAATGAGGAAAAAAAACTCAACAGAAGAAAAACAAAGTAGCTAGTATTTCCCTTCTCATCTGTCAGCAGCCAGCTGTGTTGGTCCAGCGCCAGTAAAAACAGAAAGTCCTGCTCAAAAGTCCAATAGAAACAGTCGGTAGTTTGACGTGCAGCTGAACTGGTCTCCATAGTTTTAAAGTGAGTGATCGAGGGCTGTGTGACCTCAGGTATTCACCAGATTTGTCTGTGTGTCTGAGAAGAAGAAGAAAGCAGACACAGAGGAAGGCAGGCTGGAAGACAGTCAGTATGAGCAACAGAAAATGCAGAACTGCAGATTTTCTTTATAGTGTTCGAGACCACCTACTCCCACAAAGGAATAGTTTGACATGAACTGTAAATATGAAGCTGCCACCAGCCACTAGGAGGCTTAACCTCATCACCGCAAGGTTGGCTGGGCTGCCAGTGGAGACTTGAGGAACTTATTGCACGCTGCCAAGAAATTCTGGTATATGGCCCTTATTTTTACACCTTGGTCTTGAACTGTGTCAAGTTGGCTCTTTCCATAGGTTTCAGTCTTTGTGCTGTGCTATGGTAACCAATTTCTGGTGGCCAAAAAAAGAAAACAAAAAGGATGTAGGTCTATTTCTCAAAATATCAAACGTTTCCTGTTATGCTGACCCTCAAATTGATATAAACATAAAAATTCTACATCTGCTTTAGAGATTTTCATTTTAATGACTAAGGAGACCTGCAATTAATTTTGTGTTATTCTCTGCAGGCTACATGGTCCAGAGTGCCTCATACGATGACATCCTCAACAATAGGTGGTCCTCTAAAGCTGCCACTGGGACACACCTGGCTGTGGAAAATCTCAAGCCCAACTCTAGGTAACATATTTTATTGTGTATGTTTACAGTATGTTAATGCTCTCTAGATGCATTTGCACGTACAATGTGTGAACATCCAAAATACTTTCCAGCTGGAGCAGTGTACAACATCATCTCCCATGCGGGAGTCATAAAAACAAAAGAAGCTTATTTTACAAACAAAGACTTGCTTAGCTGCATGAGCCTTTACCCTGACCTCTGCGTGACTGAATATGCATGTTGCCTGTGTGTTTCTGTGTGATTGCATGTAGATGTTTTTGTTTTGGCTGACCGTGATCAAATTAGTTTTATATTATTCAAAGCATGTAAATTTTATGCTGTAGTGGCAGGAAAAGTCTTTAAAGTGGAAAACCAGCAGTTTGGTTAAGAAGCAGATATGAATCTTTTGTGACGTGCAGTAAAACTCAGATGAGACCCCAGAAAATTCAGCGGAACATAAATACAGCACATATTATCTGACACTTGCACAGAGATACAGCCATCTCGGTCTGTTTCAGTTATTAGAACATGTTTCCACAGCCGTGTGTTACGAGACATGGGTCATGGCTGTCAAAATAAATGCATGGAAACATGAACCCAAGACAGAAAGAGAGTCTTGGATTCCTTTGTTGTTCACCTGTGCTTTTAGGGGTTTCTGCTAAAAGAATTTACGATACTCTAAATGGTGCAGTAACTTATACCTAGTTGCAGTAATTTAAAAATAGATTCATTTTTTCGAAATCGATACACAATGTTTATGTGTTATTTAGTCAGTTGATGCATTTAGGCCATCCAGATAATCTTCAGCAGTTCTCAATAAATGTAGTGATTAAGTACTGGCAAGTGCAAGAAGACACAAAAGTGAAACTACTTTATATCCTTTAGCAAAAACAACATGTGTGAACCATGCATAGTTCAAGTGAATGCTATTAATGGACACTAAAGGCTTTTATATAGTATATTGCGCGGTCTAAAGGAAGAGTCTTTTTAGGTTTGTGAACTGTCAAAAAAACAGATGAACACAAAAAGCTTTCCAAAAGTATGCAAAAGGTTTTTATTCCCGCCAACCAGTTTATATCCAGGATCACAGAATGGTTTATGGGATAGTGTTGGCATTTCCCATGCTGGAGGCTCCTTCATGGTTTCCAAAACTATTTGTATTGCATTGACTAACAGCATAACTGCATATAAGTGAAATTTATCCTTTTCCCTCTTTCTATCAGTGAGTCATGTGGTGGGTAATACTTTCTAATAACTACACAAGCATTAATAAGTTATTAGTAAAGACCTCAGATGGGTTATGCATGAATTTTACAATAAATATTTCTATGTTGCGTATTGCTTTGTGCTCTTCCTGTTGCGTATTTATAACAGCTTTGTAAGGCATGAATAGGCTCACTTTAGAAAAACTCGTAACTCCTTTAATAGACCATGAATTACAATATTAGATAAATATTTATAAAACCTCAATTAACATTCTCACAAATAGCTGATATCTTAATCATTACATGTATAAATGTAGATCTATGTACTCTGTTAATTACTAAGACTTTTTAAATTATTCCATAAACCATTGCAGCTCCTAAAAAGCTATTTTTACTTGATGTAATACTTAAAAGTGGTGAATCCATCATTTGTAAAGTATAAAATGCTGACATTAGTCACTTTATATGAGCTTATTTAGCAAGAACCTACTAACCCTTAATAGTGTGCTTTTATAAAGTATTGCCATGTAGTGCATACATAACATATATATTCTACTTCCATTGTATATAAGGGTTTTTTTTAATGTAAAACTAGCTTTCGTCAAACAAAAGTCTAGCAGTTTTCACTCTAAATAACTAATGAATACTTGAACTTGAAAAAATGGAAATCTGCAACCATTTAACAACATGTAGTAATTCATTTAAAGCCTTTTTATACATAGAAATTGACAATTTTCTAATTTCCCTACTTCTGGTTTTCTAAGCATCTATTTCTCCTGCTGTATGTAAGAGAAGTGTACAGAATACAAATTGGTTGTGAATTTCTTACATATGTGAATATTTTTGAAACAGTTTAAAATTGGCATTTGTGGGTTCATCTTGTGGTTCAGCTGTCATTTATTATGAAAAGCATATTATGAGGCCAGGCCAGATTTGGCTTGAAAAGGTACAACATGTGCAGTTGCCACATAGAATTTCTTTTTGAATGAAGATCTCTGCATTGAAAGTTTCAAATAGCAAGCAACTTTGGTCCTTGATACTGTATTTATTTTCACAATGTCCTTTTTTTCCTACCCACTCAGATTTCCTCTCGTCTTTCTTCTTCCATGACGTCATCTCTCTATAGCTGCATTGCTTTCTTCTCTCCCTCTCCCGTGACATAATTTGGTGAGCCTCTTCATATGGCCGTGGTGATTGGATCCAGGCTTCATGGCTGTATGTGGTGAAAGTTTTTAGACTTGAAATTGACAGATGATGAGCTTACTGTGTGTGACCTTGCACAGTATATGAAAGCTCATGCGCACACATCATGCACAGTGGAAAAATTTGCAGTCTCTCAGTGTTGTCACTGCTGGTTTTTTTTCAAATGTGACAGGACTTTATAATTCCTCAACCACCTGGAGATGAAATGAGATCACTGTTTGGCTTTGTTTTGCACTCTGGCAAGAAAGCTCGTGACATCTAGTAACGCTTTTGGGTGACAAATTTCTCTGTTGATTAGAGTCTCTCTCGCTTTCTTTACTTTTCCACATCCTTCCGTTTTGTTGTCATTCATTCTTCTACTTTCCTCTCAGCTGTTAACCTTTGCTTTTATAGATGTGTCTTTTTCCTCTCAACAATCCCTTTTGCCTCACCTCAGTTCTGCTCTCCTTTTCCCTTGAACGTGAGCCAGAGAGCCATTTTATTGTGCTGCGCTCACTTTGGATTCATACAAGCATAAATCGGGCTACTCTTAAATCTTAAAGAATGTCAAGTGATCTGCTGCGATCGTTATCATTTTCCTATTTTTAACCAGTAACAACAAAACGGGTGGAGTGGCACGTTAAATGCTAAAACTTTTATTAAAGCCATACTTTGTGCTCTGTTGTCATTCAGGTACTACTTCAGGGTGCAAGCGAAGAATGTGTTTGGTGTGGGACCATTCAGCGAAACGCTCTCCTATGTTACTGAATCAGGTTGTATTCTGTCATCACCTGCAACTGTAAACTTTGAGATACCCTAATGATTAAAGTTCAGACTGACTCTACATTTTCTTTCCTTACTGTACAAAAATAGAAGAAAATTTCTCGCGTTTATATTCAGCGCACAATATTCACACAGAGAGTCGCCCTTGAAGAGAAGCCGACTTGCACATGTACACTGCATTACACGGTCTATTGGTTTTTCTTTCCCATCATCAGGTGAATGCATTAAACTTGATATGCAGTCTTTTTCACCCCTGGTGTTTACATTCGTTTTTGTTTTTTCAGATGACCCTCTCCTCATTGAAAGACCACCTGGTAGGTCTGCACACTAACAGCACATTTCCAACTTAGAGACAAGTTATACTGAAAAATAATGAAATATAAAGAAAAAGTTACAGTAATTTAGGATGGATTTTCTCTTCCAAAGCTTTCCTTATAATAGTAACATAGCTAATGTTGAACTTCTATTTTCTAGTGTGTGACAGTTGCGTTTGTCTGTTGTTATTCTTTGTATTTATGTTTATAACAATATGACCCCAGGAGTGATCTGGCCACAAGTGATTTTTCATAACAATAATATTTTGACTTGGTTTAAACTAGGGATGCACCGATA